AAAAAAAAAAAAAAAGGAGAAACGTTTATATCTTGGGTAAACATTTTTATTTGCAAAGGAATGCCATGTTATTTGTTTTAAAGAAGTTATTTTGACATATTCGAAATCCTAAATGAATAAATGTAAATTAATACATAAATGAAAAACCTGATTAGATCCAATGGAGGGCTGATACTTAACCCTAGTTATGGATGAATAGAAATGTAGACCTATCAATTAACCTGGTGAAGCGAAGCCCTGTGAGCCAAAGCAACAACTGTTATCAGTTTTATACTACTAACTCATTATAACAGTGGTGGTTAATGATAATTTAAAATTAGCTCAAAATTGTATACTATACATTATAGATGAAAGGCTTATTTACTGTTAAATATATCATCCTTTAAAATATTCCTGCATTTAATAAAGTTGTCATTAAACATCAGAACTGAAAACTAAGTGAATTATATGCTACTTAGTACTGTATCTGATTACATTTTTGTACCCCGAGTCATATATTCAGAATCATTTGACAAAATTTCTGAAATTAAAAATGACAAAGTACAAATTAAAAGTCTCTATATAACAACTGTCACTGTTCATCATCTTCATCAGTTCAGAAAACAATGTATACAGATTAATGGTCACTGTGTACTAAGGAATTTGGCCTTGTCCAAAGAAAGTGTGGCCTGCATCTTTCAGAGGTCCCAGGGCTAGGAGTGTCTTGTTTTTTATGGTGGGCCCTTTCGACCACAACTGATAATTCACAGTAACAAGATGACTGAGGACAAGCCCCTGGAGCTTGATGTCAGCCAGTTCTCCACCAAGGGGCAGGACTGGATGAAGAGTGAGTTCAACCATGTGAGTAAATAATCAATCAATCATGTAAAGTAACACACCTTCAATAAACATCTGGACACCAAAGTATGGATGAGCTTTCCTGGTTGGCAATACTCTGTGTATTATCATACACAGTGGCCAGGAGTAGATAACACTGCCAAAGGTTCTTCCACAGGGAGTGGACCACTGGAAAGGAGGACTGGAGTTTGGATCCCTCCCAGACTCTGCCCTGTTTCTTCCTTTGGCTGATTCTAATTTGTGTCCTTTCTCTGTAAAATGTGAGTATAATAGCTTTCGGTGGGTTCTGTCTTTCTAGTGAATTATTGGACCTGAAAGTGAATTTGGTAAACCAGTGAATATGTACTCACCAAGACACTCTCTACTATAGTAGAATCTTAAATTTTTAGGCTTTTGAGGCTATTTATTTTCTCTTTGCTATTTTCTGGAATGTGTATGTATGTCATCAGTTTTGTTTTGAAGGATTTATAAGAACAGTAATAACAGCCATTATGATTACTAATGCTGGTCACTATCTGACTCTGTTTAATGGCAGTAGTAGCTATAAAATCTAGATTTTTGAGGTGTGTTTGCATAGTACTGGGATTCAAGGATTGTGAGAGACTTTCAACAAAAGCAGCACTTTGATACCAAAAAAGTTAAGATTTTCAGTTAGTGCTTTTTCATGAGAAGATAAAGAAAAGTATACATTTAAAAAATGTTGATGTTCTTATTTTAGTGATCTTTTAAAACAAAGTATTTTGTACAAGGTTACTTCAGTAATAGACGTGGCAATAATATCCTTTATATTGCTTATCATTTGATTTCTATGCACTGAATTGACAGTCACCATGGAAGCAAATACATTTAAATTATGAAGAAAACATATGCCAGTTACTGTAATTACTTAACCTTGAGGCTAGCAAAGAGATAATTTATTTTTTAAAAAATTTAGGCTGTTATCATCATACAGGGAGAGAAGTTCTCACTAGTTTAAATAAGACCCAGTCTTTCATGCCCAGAGCATAGGGTAGAAAATTGGGAGGAAGATCACACATGATAAAAGTAACTATAGAGATAGGGAGAAGATCAGAGAGTCAATTTTGATTATATATGGAAAGGAAACTAATTCATGGTGAAGTCAGGTTAATAGGGAAACATGGAAATATAGGAAGACATTTACATGGTTATTTATTAAAATACTCTCCATGAATCTACTAAGTAGATAATAAATGGATAACAAAAAAAGACAGAGAGAGAAATTTATCAGTTTAAAAGCTATTTAACAAAAGACCAATGTATACATCCTCTAAATTACGTCCATAAAAAATTTAAATATACATATCACATTACCAAACCCAAAATAATCTTTCTAAATAAATGAAATACATAGACATCTAGACAAATTCAGAATTCAAATGATTAAAAACATTTAAAAAATCACAGTAAATTATATCTTAGAAATAAAACAACAAAATGACGGTTATATACAATTGTTAAAGTTTCAAAAGCTCAATGATGGGGCAAAATTGGCATAATTTATTTAAATAAGTACTGTTTGCTAATGTTTATATAATATACCTAATTTAACATTCTGTTGTATAATAGATTTAAAGAAAAAATGTTGAAACAATCAAAAATTGAATTATAGTTATTCTTAAAATGTCCTAATTCCCATGTGTCCACAGTTGTGAGTTACAGTAATTCTTCCAGAAAAGTCAAATATTTGGTAAAGCAAGGCACAAAGGACCAGATTTTTATTAAGGTGCTTTTTCTTTGGTCTTGCAATTAGTTTAAATATGCTAAATATCTGGAAGATTCTTAAGATGACTTTCAATATAGCATAAATATCTTTAATAAACCTTTTCTTATGTAAAGCATACATCCATATGTAATTAAATAATGTAAAAATGAAAGTGTAAATAAAACAAATGATCCTAAACTTTGTTTTTAAAAACAAAACACAGTTGAATTGACTATACAATGACATTTTAAAAGTCCAATAATTTATTATGTAGAAGTATCAATTCTTAAGGTCAGTCAGAATTACAGTAAGTCTACTAAGCACAGTCAACTAGTTTCATTTCAATTTTGTTTCCTTAGAATCTAGTTTAAATACCAAACTACTTTTCCTTCTATGAAATTGTGATAGTCAATAAAAATTGATGTAAACATTTAAGTTTTGCATCTCTAAACTACATTTCCACCATAAAAGTAGCCTACAACTTCTATAAAATCACTTTTTAAAGAATTGATACAATTTGTGGTGAAACATCTACATGTTGGATTTCAAACTTTTCTTCCCAGATACTATATTCTTAATTTTCAATACAACTACCAATTGGCACTGTAATCCTATAGATTAGCATGTTTTTTATAATGAACAAAGTAGTTGAGAGATAAGTATACTTTAAAAAGTATAAGAATTTAAGTAATCAGGGAGTCATTATTATAAAAGATTGATATAATAAGGCTTTTGGAGGTCATTAAAAACAGACCACACACACAAGAAAATGGCATTATCTGTATATATGACATGATCTAGGATACAGCTCCACCTTCTCAAATATGATTATTTCTTTATGAATTAAAATATAAGCTACACAGCCCAATCTCTAATAATTTTTTCAAGCTTCCTAGAAAACTATAAATTATGCCTAATAAAAATTTGTTTTGAAAATAGACTATTTTGTCCTTTCTTACAAGTCTTATATTTTTATTCTTTGTTGGGAATATTGATAATTGTGTTATTTTGGACACCTGAAAATATATTATTACTGTAATATGTCTGATATTCAATTATTTGCTTGTATCATTTTTGAAGTGTTAAAACAAGGACAGACTAAACCTGAATTAACAATTAATTGTAAATGCACACTGAATACATATGTACCCATTACTTCAATGTGGGCTGAACATACATTTTTATATTTAGTATTGAATTCTGTGCATTTCCAGAATTTAGCAGTAGGTAATTAAATGTAAGTCTGCATGTTGTTGTGGTCTAAAAAGACCATGCTAGAAATGTGGTAGAGTTATTAAACAAATACATATTCTAAAAGGTGGTCACTGACTATCATAATTCAGGCTTCCAGAAAGCTTGCTTGGTGCCAATTTGGAATCACCAGCAAATGGATTAAAATACTTCATAATTTAAACACTTTTAAACTCTGGACAAAATAGATAGATTAAGCCTATGTCCTGTAGAGACTAGGTTTGCATCAGCAAAGTAGCACAGCCCATCCTAATTAGCCAAAAGTACCTAACAGTTTGTAACATGGTATTTTTGAGCCAAGTTCTATATAATAAAATCCATTAGAACTATATAAAATACTTATTTTTCATAGTTCTATTAGAATGGGAGACTTTTTAAAAAGTACAAAAAGAAATCACTTATACACAATAAGTATTTTTGTCTATAGTCAATAATTAAATTAAACCCATATTCCAATTTTAGAAAGTATTTTTGCCCACCAGTTCATCTTATTGTTTCTACTATATTTTTTCTCCTTTGAACCAATTTATTAAATAACTCATGTAATGTGCAACTTCAACTCCAGTGCTTATCAAGATGGAAAAGAAACCACTGTTTTAATGCAAAGTGGTGGCTCCTTCCCAGCAGCTTTTGTGGGGCCACTGGAAGGGAACTCAGAATTTGGCTACCTCTCTCAGACATGTGATCAGAATATTCCTGGGGATGAGTTTATGAGGTGCCTTAAAAGTTCTTATGAGCAGCCCTGAATTTATAGTTACAGTGCCACTTGAAATAAAATAGTATCATGGCAATTTGGAATGTCTCTAAGAAAAGTCATTTGGTCTCAATTTATTGACATCTATCCTTTTTTTTTTTTTGGTTTGTTAACAGTTGTAGACTAAAGGAAGTTTTTATAGATTGATGAGTGAAATATTAATTTAAAAACATTCTAATTTTATACAGTATATGCTTTGACAGTTCAAAGTTCTCCAAATGGAGATAAGACAATAATTATTTTAAATTATTAAATGAGTATTTAATCCCTTTAAATTATATTTTAAATATTTCATGGAAATTAAATGCACAGAGAAATTTAAAGTAATATTAAGAATTTATCTGATTTACAGAAAATAAATGCAGTTAAGAATTAAGGACAAAACTCCACTAATGGACTAATGGAAGTTACTGGCTAATACCTAGCACAGGAGCAAATGGATTGCTTTCAGCAGTTTTGAAGCACTGCAAGATCTTAAAATGTAGATGGAGAAATAAATATTTCTCTTCGTTAAATTTAAAATGAATTTTATTCTCTGACAAATCAAACTCAGAACATTACTTTATCAATTTCTATGTAGTTGAACAAAGAACATTTAGCAATCCTTTGATTAGTAATCTTTTGTATAAATATAAAAATCTGATACATGAAAATGTTTTCCAAATCATACTTCTATTTCTTCACAGCTTAAGAGGTAATTATAGTTTTCAAAGTTTGAATATTCCATGTGATTTGATATACTGGTACAGAAAGAGTAAGATAAAAAACATTTAATAAGATTAAATAGATCAAATTTTCAAAAATTATCTGACATTTGTTGTGTGCTCTTGCAAAGAATGCATAGGACATTTCTGCAGCAATCAAAAAGGTAAAATCTTTTAAAACTCAGATTTCATGTTTTCTCCAATAATTATTCTAATCCCTGGAAATACTTTCAAGCTTTGATTTCTAGATGCAATAGGTATTTTGTTAAGTACACATATTTTGTCCTTACACTTTTATATTTTCAGACCATTTCAACAATATCAGATTCAGTGTGATGGTATCTTCTTAGAATCTGTAGAAGTCCTCTGTGCAAGATTAATGTTGAGATTTCTAGTGCACCATTGTGAAAAACCAGCTAAAGACAGTATATGGCTATGCTTTAGTGGGATTGCCTGCAGGTTTGGGATCATAACCGTATAGGAAAGTAGCTGTTATTACAAGGATGGCTCCAAGGAAAAAGACACTAAAAAGATGAAGAAAAATCAAAAGGAGAAAATCAGATTAAATACAAAACAGATTCTATTTCTTTACTTATACAAATAATTATAATTTGGGAAAAATGGTCCAGCAACATAACTTACCACATTCCAGGTATTCAGCTAAGCATTACACACACATTATCTCATTAAGTTCTCATAACAACCCTATGAGGAAGTATTAGTATTTTCTCATGTTTTTATATATGAGGAAACTGAAGGTTAGAATGTTTAAGTAACTTGCTTAAAAGCCTCACAACTTTAAGTGGAAAATGGGATTCAAATTCACATATGTCTGACTCTAAAGCCTATACTTCCATCCTGTACTATATTGTCTCCCAAAGCAAAGAGTTTTAAATGTTGCATTTTACCTTAATATGCCTTTTGCCTACAATATATTGAATAATAAGTTATCTGTTTTAGAATATTTGAAAATATAAAGGGAAAACTGCATACCTTTCAAACCTAAGTAAAGTTCAGTTTAAAATCCAAGGTAAGTAAAACTCAAGACCAATTTTTATAGGGTGCTTTACAAAAACAAATTAGATTAAATGCAAGTAGAGTTGGTTTCTTCTTTATCTATCCATAGATAGAATATACCCTACTATAAACTGGGAGTGAACTTAAACTGATAATGGAGCTTAACTTGGACATAAAACTAGAATACTGATCTTAAATTTTAAGATGTATATTCTTCAAAGTGCTGTTATAAGGATATGATTTAGTCTTGGTTTTAAAGTTTCTATTAACAGTTCAAAGTCACTCCCATGCTTTAAAAAATAATTTTGTTCTATAAAGGAAAAAGATCAGCAATCCTTACTAAGACATAAAGAATCCTTCCTACTGTGGTCTCTCCAACCTCCTCCACACTCCACCCCACCCAATCTATAATTTATCCATTCAGTGAATACAAAGTGCCTTTTAGGACAATGTCCTTATAAATGCTATTCCCTTTGCCTGTAATGCCCTTTTTCCCAAGAAAATGGCTTATTCATAACAATTCAGGTCTGATATCTTCAGGACTCATTCCCCTAGGCAGAGTTACTCTATGGTAACACCTATCGCTCTGTAGTAAATAATGCATTATTTACATGTCTGTTCCCCTGCTCAACCACATGCTTGTATTTCATTATTATACCCCCAGTGCCTAGCATACATAGGGAGCTCAATAATTACCTGTTATGATAAATATCTAGTGTTGAAATAATGCAAATGGACAATTTTTCAAAAGCTTTAGATGGCAGCATACATGTAAGATTAAGATAACATTAAACTTCCTATAATGTATTTTGAAGAAAATTACTACCTAAGGAATATTTGATAATTATTCAGGTTTTGGAGATAAGCTTCTGACTGAAAATTTCCTTTGTCAGGTATAAAGACCTTTTCTTAGTTTTCTGGAACTCTGGAATTACATAGAATCACATGCTTAACTGAAAATCTGTCTGATCCAAATTTCTACCCACTGCAGGGACCCATTCTATAATATCTCTAGCAGTATCTCCTAGAATACCTAAAAATGTCAGGAAACCTCTTCTTCTCAAGCCAGTTTTTTTACAATGGTTCTTAGAGAAAAAAATATCTGTTGAAGAAAAAACTATCAGAATTTAGTGATAATTTCAAGGACTTGGGCCCTATTTTCCAACTGAATTGTACGTGTATTTCCATTCCTGGATTGATTATAAGGCTGTATTTATTTATTCACATGTCTACCTCTCTAATCATCTGACTTCCTTAAAGACAGGAAACCATATCATGTTGATGTATTACTGTTTTTCTAGGATCTAGTACAGTGACAGGCAGTTATCTATTTTAGGAAAAATAATCCATCTCCCCCATCAGACTGGGTGTCCTATGTATATTCTCAAAACATCATTCATTCATTCATTCAATAATAACAGTATCATTATCTTTTCTCCTTTTATCTTCACCCCAATATACTTTATGTATTCCATCAGAAACTTGGATTTACATACAAGTGTATATCTTATTGACAAACTACTATTCTCTTGTCATCTCCCAGTTTGCTTGTTCATTCACTGTTTTTTCTTGCATGATTCAAAGATTTTAAGTTAATACCTTTAGCCTTATGTGAGATCTTTCTTTTTTTTGAAACAAGTATACCTTTTTAAGTGTACCTGAAAAATTCACAAGTTTGAAACATTCTCAAATAATATTAAAGTACATAATTTCCCCATTTAATGGATAGGGAATAAAGAGAGCATCATTAAGATATTAGGTGCTAGTTCTTGGGCTCATCTCACTACCAAAGTAATTCATTCCTATACTAAGCTAAAAACAGAAGTACTTTTAAATTCATGCCTTAGAAAAATTAAAGATCTTAACATTCAACTTCCAGACCTATATGCAGATTGCTAGAAAAGAATCAAACCATAAGTCTCCAATATAAAACTATGAAGAGCATATTATATTTTTCTACTTCAAAATTCCATCCATAACCCTATCTCACTATCAATAATATAAATGAATTTTAGTAACTGTAGTAAAATTTTAAGGTCTTGAACATTCATTCAATGAACATACTGAGTACCTATTACATGCCAAGCTCTGGCTTTCCTTACTGATCAGATGATAGGTCTTCTGGAGAAAGGAGTAAGAATGGTAGAATGGAGAGGGGTACTCTTTTATTTAGGGAGGTCTCTTGATAGAGAGACATTTCAGCCAGTATGTGAGGGAGTATGCATGCGAATATGTAGGGAATGCGTATTCTAAGATGAGTAAAGGGTTAAGTGAATGTCAACAGCAGAGGTTACTTTAGCTGTAGTAGCTCAAAAAAAAAAAAAAAAAGAACAAAAGGAAAGTAACATCAGATGAGGACAGAAAGGTAGCTAAGGACCAAACCAAATAGGCCATTGATGATGATGACAATTTTTCAGCGTCATCAGAAGCAATTAAAAGGTTTCTGAGCAGAGTAGTCAGGTGATCTGATTTACATGAAACGAATCATGCTGATTGCTACACAGAGAAAATTGGGGAGCACAGGGCAAGAGAAGGAGCAAGGAGACAAGTCAGGAGACTATTTTGTTAATCCAGATAATAAATGAGGGTGCTTGGACCAAGTAGTAGCAGTAAGGTTATGAGAAATGGTCAGATTCTGAAGACATTAAAAAGAAAGAGTTGAGAGGATTTGTTTCTGGATTAGAATGGCATATGAGAGAAGGATAAAGAGAAGCTGATGTCCTTACTACTTCTTATTTCACTTCAAAAATAACTTCCATACATCTCAACTTCTTCTTATGAATCTATCTATATCCTAGTGTATAGACTCTGCCTTCTCTTAGATTACTCTGAATAAACTGTTCTTATCTAAGTCAAGGAGGGTTTTGGCCTAAGGAACTGGAAGAATGGAGGTGCTGCCACTTACTAAATTGGGAAACCCTGACAGGAACAGAAAACGAATTATTAGTAGACATTCAAATGAAAATGTCAAATGATCAATTAGATATATAAGCCTGGAATCCAAATTCAAATTTGAGAGTTATTAGTATAAAGATATTTAAAGCCTTAAGAATAGAGATCACCAAGTGAGTGCAAATAAAAGAGGTCCAAGGACAGATCCTTGGGAGACTCAATTTAGAAGTTGAGAAGATGAGGGAAGTAAAGTTGGAGGAAATCAAAGTATGGTATCATGTAATCTACTCTGGGATTACAATTAGTAATTAAAAATAATAATAACAATAGGACCTTCAAAACCATCTGTAATGCATATTCATTACCCTTCATTCTTCCTCTGTCTCCTCCCTTGGCATCCATGCCACTACACAGTCCATGGTCTCCTGCTTCACTCATTATTCCTTTTGCAATTCCTTTCCAAACCACTCTTCTTTTTGCCACCACTTACTACAGTTTAGAGCTACCTTCTGTATATAAAATCTCCTCTTAAAGATTGTCATCCACTTTCCTGGCTTTAGCTATATAAATTCTACACTTAAAAATGTCATTACATGACTTATATTATGACTTTATATACTTACCAGCTTTTTTAATATGATTTTTTACTTTGGAGAAAAAAATTCCAGTCTACTGGGAAAATTCTGGCTAACCAAATTTGTATAAAACCTTTCCAGTGGAAGATTTTCTTTCATGAATCTTTTTTGAAACCTTTAAAAAAAATATAGCTAAATGGACCTTTTATTATATTTCCATGATTCTTCAAAACTTTTCATATCAGATCTTATGAAGAATTCTTATTCTTGTCTATACTTTTGGGTACTTATATAGAAAAGAATATATTACCTGGTTGGCACAAAATCTTGTAGCCAAAAGTAGGATATCAATGTTGATAATATTATGGATAAAGATGTTGCAAATCCTTTTAAAATATTATCCGCATACTTAATAACAGCAGCTATTACAAGGCCTCCAAGTGCCTGCAGAAGTTTTAGAAGATTACTTAAAAAAACAAACATATATAAAACTGTCATTTGAAACAATCTCATTCCTCAATGAAGTATTAGGCTTTTGTCCTATAAATTTAATCCCATTATAGTGATTTTTGTTAAACGTATCTTATAACCAATAGACTTCTAGGTTTTGTTCAATAGCCCTCCTAATGGTATCTGGTACTTCCAAAAGGTTATCTGACAAAGTAACTGCCAGCATAATCTGCAGTTTGTTATAATGTAGTTTAATCATATTACAAATAAAACATCTATCCTCATCCAACTTAGTAATTAAGCATTACTTGTTCAGACAAATATGGGAAAATTAGTCACAGTGCTGATTAGTGAAATATTTTTAGGTCTGAGTATTTAAAAAAATAAAGTGTAACTTGAAAGTTATCTTACTGGCCTTTCCAAGAGCCTCCTAATTAGCTTTCTTCCTCTAGCCACTCCCCATTCGAATTCACTTTTCATTGCTGTTAGATTACTCTTCTTAAAGCAATTTTAATCGTTCTCTTTCTTTAAGAGTGTAGAAATAACTTTCTACCAAATCTTTCTCAACTTCCAAATTGTGCTTCCTTAAATAAGAAGGTTTCACCGTACTACATAGTTTTGTCTTCTGCCAGATTTTACTTACAAACTCCCAAATCTGGTTTACTCACCTTAACAACTTTCATTGTATCTCAAATGACGGAAGCTTTATTAGAGAAAGTCACAAATTATGCCAGTTATGCTCAAAACAAATTGATGTTTGAGTCCAAATACTTCTTGGCAATGTTCTTATTCATTTACTTACTGCCTATTGAATGAATGCCTCATATCAACTACACCAAACCTTTTTCATTTTATTCAAGTCTTCAGCCCCTACTTAAGGGAGAGGATGTCCCTCTTTGCTAGAATAAAAGCCATCATATATAAACTCTCCTGACTTACCCTACAGTGACTTGTATCTTCATTTTAATATCCTCCAGAGTATTCAAGTATGTTTTGAAGATGAAATTATTCAACCCTTGAACAATTTCAAATTATAAAGTGAGGTGATCTGACAGGAATATTCCATTGTGTGACTACAATATGAGGCTGTAAACTCTTACAAATTTAAATATCCAGACCTGGTTTTTGAGCCTGAATGGGCAAACCACATACTTCCTGTACAACTCTAAGAATTGTAAAAAAATCAAAAGTTACATTTGTCCTCAGCTTCAACTCTTTTATTCTAAACTTGCACTTTTATTATATTAAATTTAAATACCACAACGTTAATTCATGACCCCTTTGCAAAATAAGTTTTCATTACATCATTAAGATCAGTTCTATTTTAACACCTCTGAATAAACTAGAAATAATAAGAGCACTAACAGGAGGGACTTTTTTTTTTCTCACATTGTACATCAGTAGCTACTTGGATTCTCTATATTAAAATGAAGTTTATTAGCATTAAATATAAGACTTTAAAGTTTTACCTGAAGAATGACAACTATCCAGGTCAGACGGTTATATCCCTGAAAAAATCCATTCTTTGACACCAATTCTCCATCATAAATGTATACACCCATTAATCCAAATACACTCCCAAAGAAACCTAAAAATAAATGTAAAGTGTATGTCATGTGTTATTTAGTTTGTCTGAAGAGATATTTTTCCATTGGCATTCCAAATTATTTTATATTTAACTTTTTCTTTTTGATAAAATTTTACTACTTTAAAAACCTTTTACTGGTGTATTTATATAAACTTGACAAAAGTATACTTAATACTATATTATGACTATAAAACAAAGAGAAGAATAGAAAAATAGGGGCTACCAGTTTTGGAGCACTAAAAATATATAATGCATAAATTACATAACTACATGACTCTCCACCTAAATATTTGGAAAACACTCATTTTTTTATATTTTTCATTATATCTTGTATCTTCCTATTGTTAGATCTAGATTTTCATATATTCACATTTGTACATAAAGATATAAAATCTTAGATATGTGGCATAGCATTTTTCCTTATTAAGAAGTTTTGAAAGTAAAATAATATCCAAAAAATCAGAGCTAAGAGTCATATGCAGTCAACATCAGAAGCTGTCACTACTGAAGTCTCACACCTCAGTGACACCAAAAACTATGTCTTGTTCTCTGCTGCATTCCTTACCTCTACCACAGAGCTTATCCCCTGACTACTAAACCTAAGAGATTACCAGGAGCAATTCTGAACTACAAGTAAAGAAATGGACACTTACGGGGTAGTCTCTGGTCAGGTATACAATCAAGAGTGCAGGGTGAAACAATTTTTTAATAAAGCCATAACTAATCAAAGTATTCCATGATGGAAAGAAACTGAAATGGATATGAAATGTTCCTCCAAAAATTTTATTCACGCTGACTCAATTATTTTAACATGTCTAATTTCAATCATGAAAATAATACTGGCATAATACAAATTGTAAAAATAAACACTTTTGAGGGTACTATTCATTTTTTTGATGATAAAACTAATACTTGATAATTATAACAAATGTATACAATACAGAAGGGCACATACATGTCAGTATGTACAGATACAGTGCATTCTTTCTATCAGTTGTATATTTCACTCTATAAATAATAATAATATGAAAATCATATATGATGCCATGGGCCACAAACAAATATTCTAAGTGCTTCATGTAAACTCACAACAACCCTATTAGGCAGATGTTTTTATGCCCATTGTGTAGATGAAGCACTGAAGCATAGAGAGGTTAAATAAATTTGCCCAAGGTCACACTGCAGGTGAGTGATGGGCTCAGGATTTGAATCCAGGCAATGTGGCCCTGGAGTCAATGAACTTAACCATACACTATTAAATCATACCAGTAATTTATTTAGCCAGTGTTCTACGTATCTTTTTTTTTTTTTACAATTTTAACCAATGCTGAAATGAATAACCTTGGACATCAATCTTTTGCTCTTGTACAAGTATATCTGAATGAAAAATTCTACACCAGACAGACATGAAATTTTTGCATCAAAGCCTTTATGTAAAATTGGAGATCCAATAAGGTTATATCATCTATATCTGTGGCAACCATTGGCAATAAGAGTTCCTATTTGTCTACCTTCTGGCTAACATGGGATCTTATCAGTTTACTAATCTTCACAGTTGATCTTTGAAAAATGCTATTACATTGTTTTAATTTCTGTATATGTAAATTTGAATTATCTATAACTTATTTATGTATCCTTTTCAAAATTCTCAGTCAGCTTACCATTAGATTGTGCTATATGGTCATATCAAAGAATAAGAAATCCACAAAGCACCACAGAATCATGAATTCTGACCTTTCATTTTTAATTTACAATTTCAGAAAATTTGGGGCAATTCACAAAAATGAATATATCTTTCTTTTGTGACATTTACATATTTATATAAATAGCTGACATCAGTGCTTAAAATATACAAGGCAGTTTTATTCCAAATACTTTACCTGTATTATCTTATTTATTCCTCACAGCAACATACGTAGTAAATACTACAATGAAATACATTTTATAGATGAGGAAAGTGAAGCAGAGGCAAGTTCATTAACTTCCCTAAGGTACCAGGTGCTAAGTCATGAAATAAGGATTTGAGTGGTCTAACTACAAAACCAAGTGTTCTTAACTAGTGAACTATAGATCTATCGATCTATCTATCTATCTATCTATCTATCTATCTATCTATCTATCTATCATCTATCTATCTATCTATCTATCTATCTATCTATCTATCTATCTATCTATGATCTATCTATCTAAAGTACATAGTAGTTTCTTTCTGAAATGAATTAAATTGGTTAATCCTTGAAAAGTCTGTGAACTTGCCTTCCAGACCAACTGAACAAAAAGTATAATTTTGTCTTTGAAAATATTTACCTTGAATGGTTCTTCTTTTTTAAATTTATTTTTATTTACTTTTTTTATTTTGGTATCATTAATGTACAATTACATGAGCAACATTATGGTTACTAGACTCCCCCTATTATCAAGTCCCCAACACATACCCCATTACAGTCACTGTACATCAGTCGTAGTAAGATGCTAATAGAATCACTACTTGTCTTCTCTGTGTTATACTGCCTTCCCCGTGCATGCCCCCTACATTATGTGTGCTAATCATAATGCCCCCGTTTCCCCCTTATCCCTCCTTTCCCACCCATCCTCCCCAGTCCCTTTCCCTTTGGTAACTGTTAGTCCATTCTTGGGTTCTGTGAGTCTGCTGCTGTTTTGTTCCTTCAGTTTTTTCTTTGTTCTTATACTCCACAGATAAGTGAAATCATTTGGTACTTGTCTTTGTCCACCTTGAATGGTTCTTTAAAAAAAAAAACTCAATACATTCCTATACATTTTGCAGAGAAACTTAAATATATCCTATGTGATAAAATGAAGGCTCGATCTGTTATCACATTACTTAAAAGCATCTAGCATGATGGACTTTAATTAAATGTGGAATGTTTGTATGGGATTCATTGACTAGGAGTACAGACATTTACTGCATGGGGCCTGAAAGGGCTTGTTATGACTACTATCAAGAGAGACAAAGTATAAATATTAAGTTGATGTGGACACACAGAAACTGTGATTTCAAAGATGAACTCCAAGTCATAAGAACAAAGGCTTAAAATAGAATGTGTGGATTTGCAGTTGAGCTGCTTCTCACATGAAGCATCTTGCAAAATGAATGGATGCCGGGAATATTAAATGCTGGAATATTTGTATAAGGACTTATATATTATAATAAATACTATATATAAATAGTTAAAATTGCTCAGAGGCAATCTTTTGATATGTGGGACTTTCCTCCCTTTTAAACTGTTTACCTTCAGTTAGAAAAATGCTCCACTATTTAAAAGCTAAAACATAACATTTTTATGTTTTAAAATAAAAAGGTATATTAAGAATATAAATCAGACGAAAGGTTCATCAATTCGAACTTTCTGTTTAAGTATTTTTTCAGCTTTATTGAATATAACTGACAAAATTGTAAGATTAAAGTCCACATAAGTGTGATTTGATATTCTTAGACAATATGGTGACTATAGTTGATAACACTGTATCATATAATTGAAATTTGTTAAGTATCTTAATCTGCTTTTCCAGGAGAAAAATATGTAAATTAATTGTAACATCTTCAAGGAAAATGAAAGCAACCAAGGATAAATTAACTAAGGCCCCAAATGATAAGGAACAGAAACAGGCTATATATACCTTATGTCACAGACCTAAAATTCCATATTCTTGAATAAAAGACATTCATTTAAAGTATAATCTTTTAAAGGGTAGAACCTTGCCAAGATATTTGGATCAACAGCAGATTTTAATGAAAGGCTTATTTATTTAAAGATACATAGAAAACTTTAAAGATAACAATATAACCACTTTAAGAAATAATATTAGAAGAACATTAAAAACTTACCAAGCTGAATGTTTCTTATCCATACTGACTGTTTGGTTTCTTTTAAGATTTTCTCAAAGTAAACCCCAGCAAAACCACTTGAAAAACATGCTGTGAGAACTGCCATGAGGCCTACAAACTGAGAGCCTGCAGAAAGTTCCTTAGACTCAAGCTTTTGAGAATCTGAAGGCCACTGAACAGAAAGAAAAGACTGAAGTTTAATTCCTATAATATTTTACAAAATGCTTATTTAGAGCATACTCTAAGACCTTAAAATAAAAATGTAACCAATACCATTCTTAGGGATTGCAGAGGACAGCTTTTGAAAGAAAACCTTAGAATCATTTTATTTTTCCCACTTACAACTTACTAATTTCAAAAAATACCCTGAAAAAGAGAAAGAGAATGAGTAAATGCATGATGCACAAAATAGCCTCTACAAGCAGTTCAGTTGTAGAAATTCAGTGTGATGTGTTAGAGAAGCAAAAATAAGTCTGGAGCTGTCAGTACATTACAGAAGGTCAGTATGACGTCATGTTAACCATCCTGGGCTTTATTTTCAAAGTAAGTATTCCTGAAACTTCAGTTATTTGCTTATCATCTTCATGATTTTTGTCAAATTCAATTCTACCTTAACTGTTAATTACTTGATAATTTAATTTGAAGTATCTCACTTTCTAAAATTTTAGCTTATCCTAAGCACTATCTGTGAAAACATGGGTTTAAAATGCCAATTATATTTTATAATACCCATTTAAAATAAATATTAAAAATATTTACTCAAGATATATTTGCCATACTCTGGGTAGTGCTCTGAATGGCAGGAAATTGACATGATTATATTTGGTTTTAGATAGACCACAGTGGTGACTAAGTGGAAGCTGAATTTGGATGGATGGGTAAGACTGAAGTAAAAAAAAAATCAGTAGGCAAAAGATTACCTTGAATTGGGGAAGTGATAGTACAGACACACGGACAAAGACAGAATCTAAAAGTATTAGGAAGAAGAATCAGCAAGGTCTTAGTAACTGATTAAATGTACAGGCAGATGGAAAAGCCTAGGACAACTCCCAGGCTGAGCAAATAATGTCTAAGAATATAGAAACAAGAACAGGCTTCATGGGGAAAAGGTAAAGTTTAGTTTGGGATATGCTGAATTTATAAGGCCTACTGAACAACCAAGCAAAGACACCCTATAGGCTTTTAGATAGACAAACCTGAAACCATGGGTGATAACCAGAGGTGATGACAAAGACTTAGGAACCATTGGCATATAACTGCTAATAAAAACCTTCAGAACAGATGAAATCTCAAAAAACAAGTACATTTAAGAAAAATAAAAAGCCTATAAGCAACTCCACTATTTTAAAAGAGTATCAAGGAAGAGGGCCACAGGAAGGAATCATTAGAAAGATGAGAAGCAGCAGGAAAGAACGGTATCAGGGGAGCTAACAGACCATAACGATGTGATTAATACTCTCAAATGCTCCAGGTATCCAGTACAAATTAGCTTTGTTTAACATGCAGTTATCTTATTTCCATAACTAGATTGTTCATTCATGTCAGATAGTTCTTTATTTCTTTGTATCAGTTATACAGTCACAATATAGTATCTTGCTCAAAGAAGTCCCCAAAATATTGAACAAGCTTTTAAGAACAAGCTTTTATTTGCTTCAACAAATAGAACTATATTCTCTGTACATAAATAAGGTTTTGAAACTTTGATAAAAATGAAAGATATACTTATCTTGAATAGTTACCTGTACAAAAGCAACTCCTGTCATCAAAATTACTAGGGAGAGCCACTGGTACACACCTAGTTTTTTACTAAGCATAGACACAGAAAACAATGCTGTTGTAAGAATTTTCAACTGATATGTGACCTGAAAAAGAAGATAACTAATATTATTGTTTGTTTGTTTGTTTGTTTCTGAAAGGGACTACTAGAAATGTATTTTAAGTACCTGATAGGTAGCTGCATCTAGATTCGACAGTGCCACATAGAGTAAATTATTCTGAAGAGTATATATTCCTGATGGAATAGCAAGTTTAAGTGTTTCCATAGGTTTATTAAGAATTTCATCATGTAGGATTCGATTCAGTGCTCTGAGACTACATTCTAGAAAAAAATATGAAATGGCATAATCAGTAATTAACTCTTGCTAATTACATTCTCTCAAGGCCTCAGTTTTCTCACCTGTAAAAAAGGAAATTGGGCTATATTAAGATATTTTTTTAGGTCTAAAATTTATTTTTAATGATACTAATTTTTCAAATGTTAATACTATAAGTAGCATGTTAAGAACATTATCCTTATATTCTTTTATTAGGAAACACAACTAAATTGATTATATATATGATTTTATATATATATATATATTCACATATATACACACACACACATATGTATTTATGATAATTAAAAGCTCAAACTATTAGCTTGTCACCCAAGTATTCTTACTTTAAGTGGCAACATTAAAAACTTGTACTCTGTGCATTCTATTTTATCATCAGCCATTCAAGTCAATTAATAATGTGAAACTTTAATCATAAAGGAAGGTAAATCAGTGAGGGAGCGGGTTTGGCTGCAAACAACAGAAAACCCAACCAACATGAGCTCAACTCCAGAGATTTGTCTCACCCCCATAATGGTGAGACCAGATCAAAAGCTGCTAAAACGGCTCAGTGACTGACGACACTGGGGACCTAAGTGAGCTTTATCTCTATACTGGCTTTTTACCTTCATGGTTTTCCTCTTTTATCAGCATGATTATTGCAACAAAGTCACCAAATGACTGCTGCACCTCTGATTCTTGCTTTAGGCAGTAAGAAAAAAGAAGAAACTGGTGTCACGGGCATCTTCTTTGCTCCTATTGACCAGGGCTGGGTTGCATAGCTACCCCTTCCTGAAAGGAAGCTGAGAAATTGAGTCTTTTCTTTTATATTCTAAACATTAGAGACAAGAAAGGGAGAAAGGGGGTTGGAAATGGACTTTGAGCTAGCCAACCTACAGTATTAGTCACAAAAAAAGTCCAAAGAACTTTGATACCTGATACTCATTGCTTCCTCACCTTAAAATAATACTTAAAATTAGGTAACTAAAATAAAAATTACCAAAAGATTCTTAGCTTTAGGAGAAAAAAAATATAAAATATTCATTTAAAAATTTTAGTTAAATTTTTAAATAATCAGTGCTGTATTTTTCTCACTAGCAGTTTAGGAAGGTCTTGTTCTACATTCTGCCCATTTCTAGTATTTTTAGATTTTTTATTTTTAGCAATCAGATGGTAGTAACATTCAGTCTTGTGGTTTTAATCTGATTTCTCTGATTGTTATAAGGTTGATATATGTATCTTTCCATGTATTTATAAAATGTCTTTTTCAATATATTTATACTTTTATATATTTATTGGCCATTCAGGTTTCCTATTCTATGAATAGCCTATATTTTTTGTGACCTTTTCTGTAGAGTTGTCTTTTTTTGTTATAGGAGTTCTTTGTACATTATGGGTATTAATTATTGTTGGTTATATGTGATACAGCATCTTCTCCAGTATGTGCCTTGCCATCATCTCACTTGGCATTTTTCATTTTAATATGCCTCAAATTGTCCTTTTTTTTCCTTTACAGATTATTTTATTTTTGTGTCTTATTTGAAATCATTGATAAAGTCTTGATTTTTTAATGTCAACCTTCAATCTACCTAGAATTTATTTTTGTGCTTGGTGTGCTTTAGTTTGTGCTTCAGTTCATTAAGAGTTGGTTTTGCCACATCCCTCCACATGCCAATTACTCATATCAAACATACCTTTGGCTCCTCAATGCTAAATGAGTGGAAACTTCCCATTCATCTAGACCTTAGTAGCAAAAAAACCTGTTTTCTCAGGTTTCCTATTTCATTTTCAAGTTTTTTTCTGTCTTGCTGTGACTTCTTCAAGTCTTCTTTTGCTGGTCCCTCTTTCTCAACCTGACCTCTCAGTGTTGGGAGCGCTACGGAGCTTAGCCTTTGACCTTCTTCTCCTCTCCATTTATACTAAGTTATCCATCCAATCCTTGACTGTAACGCAATATATAAGCTGAGATATCCTTGATATGTCATATATTCATATATTCTACTATTTGACATCTTGACGTGCATGCCTTACAGCATCTCAAATGTAACATTGCTCAAAGGGAAGCCTTGATTTCCTCCCAAATCTATGTTCCATATATTATTTATTGTAGCACCCACTCACCTAGAAATTTAATCTTAAAACCTAGGAATTATTCCTTAAACTGGACTCTTCCTTTTTCCTGAACTTCACCAACCTAATCTACCAGCAAGTCACATTAGCTGTAGTTCAAAAAAACATCTCATGAACATCCTCTCTTAACAACATAGCCACCATTATCTTCTTGCCTGGACTAGTGCAATAGCTTGAATGATTGCTGACACCTATTCTTGAACTCCTCCCCTGTCAATAAAGCTGCCACTTTGGTGTTTTTCTATACAAAACAGACAGGAACATTTTAATTACTTCCCTTCGCTTTTACAATGAAATTCTTAGCCTACAAGGCTATCCTGCATTGTCTGTTTTCTGAATGCCAATTTAGTCTCTCTTTGTTCCATTCTTGTCTAGATCAAAGTACTACAACCACACTGGCCACCATGATATTTCAGAAGCATACTAAATTTACAAACAACTCAATTCAAAAATGGGCAACGGACTGGAATAGACATTCCTCTAAAGATATACAAATGGCCAATAAGCACATAAAAAGATGCTCAATGTCATTAATCATTAGGGAAAAGCAAATCAAAACCACAATGAGATAACGTGTCATATCTGCTGGAGTGACTATAATTAAAAAACAAGCAAACAAACAAATGGAAAATCACAAGTGTTGGTGAAGATGTGGAGAAATTAGAGCCCTCATACATTGTTGGTAGGAATGTGAAATGGTACAGTTGCTGTGGCTCTTCTAAGTTAAACAAAAAATTACCATGTGATCTAGCAATTCCACACCAAGGTATATATTCAAAAGAAATGAAAGCAGGGACTTGAACAGAGACTTGTACCTTTATTGCAACATTATTCATTATTTATTACAGCATTATTTACAATGGCGAAAAGGTAGAAACAACTCAAGTGTCCATCAACAAATGTATGGATACAATGCCATACACACACCCTCTAATATTATTTAGCCATAAAAAGGAGTAAAGTTCTGACACATGTTACAACATGGAAAAACCTTGAAAACATCATGCTAAGTGAAATAAGCCAGACATAAATGGAGAAACACTGCATGATTCTATGTAGATAAAACATCTAGAATAGGCCAATTCACAGAGACTGAAGGGCCCCCACCAGTAAGATGGCAAACTTCCGGCTTCTCTTCGGGGTCCTCGGTTCCCGCCGGCGCCACCTGAAGCCCAATCACCTCTTGCCCCCCTCCCAATCCCAGCACCTAGCCAACAGCCACCAGCCCTGTAGAAGTAACACCACAATCACCCTATGCCCCTTCCTATATAACCCAGCACCTTTCCCTAATAAAGCGGAACTCTCCGGTGAATTGCTGCTATGTGTCGCTCCTTTCCTTTCATTGGTGCCGAAACCCGGGAGACGGGACACCCCAACTGGGCCCCGTCTTCCCCCCGACACCAGCAGCAGCTTGCCCTCGTCCTCTTTTTCCGGCGCTGGCTCATCACACTCACCACTCCTCTCTGGCCTTTAGGTAAGTTTTCCCCC